ACTAATACAATTAAGTTGTCTCCAATCCCAACATTTTCTCATCAGATTTGAATGAATTGGGTGAATGACTAATCTGACAATAGAAATGGCAGAAATCTGCCAAATAGCAACCATTTCTCATCACTGAAATGTATATCATGCTGTAGACTTTGTAATACAATGCAGTGAAAGGGTTAAAAGTTAATTTTGATAGACATAACCAAGAGTTATAATGTATCAAGATAATGCACATTGTGCCTTGTTAGTTTATGCAAGAATTAAAAAAAAGAACATGTTTTGTTTCTGTAGGAAAGTCACTGATATTGGTTTGGAGATAAATTATTATATAGAACTGAAGACAGATGTAATGTTTAAAAATTATGTTCAATAAATCCACCAAATATAACAGAAAAAAGATCTAAGCTTAATTTATATAAAGCCCCAAAACTATAAGATTAATGCCATTACCTTTCCTCATGAACTCAGCTTCATTCTTGTTTCGAACATCGAGATCATCCCAGTGTGAATAATTGACAGAAGGATTTTTAGCCATTTGTTGAAAAGAACAGTGGTAAGCAATTCTTTCTATTTCTTCTTCAGTAAGGGATTTTCCAAGAAAATCTGCAATCTTCTTCACACTTGCTACAATATCCTGAACAATAACAACAGTGGTGAAAAAATAGAAGTCTGAATAAATGCATATTTATTTTATATATTTCACCTACCCAACTCTGTACAGCATAAAATCAGTAAGAAAAGCCATATAAGCAATAATGATTATAATTATTACTAACACAAGAAACAAAGAAACCTATTAAAATAATTAACTAAATGTATTTTAACATCAAGATTTTGATGACAATAAGTGATAAAACTAAAACAGCTTTAACAGATATTTATCTATTATTAATTATCCACCTAGAGCTCATTGCTGATTTACCTTGAATATTGGTTATGTATTTTCTACAACATTTGAAGTGAAAACAAATAGCTGACCAACAATAATTAACTTCATTCACAACATTAATTTTATGGGTGATTTGCAGAGTTCCCTCTAGGCCGCGTGGCTGCACAACAACCAATCAAATGCCACACACACATCCTCAGTAATGGTGAGTAGTCTCAACACATTAATGGCCTTAATGACCCTGGCAGTCTATAGGCCAAAAGCCAAAATAACCAACTAGTTGCATTGCAAAGTGGCCTAATGATTCAATAAGGTTGATGGTCTAACAATACTCCCCCCCCCCTAAATATAAACTGGTTGTGCATATCCACACAGTCTTGATACTGGAGCACATAAAAAAGTTCATTCTGTACATTGATTGAAAAAATTAAAGGGAACATTGATGATTTGCATGGAAATAAGCGTAACAGAATATTCATGAGTCTTAAATTTATGATAGGTAGTAGTGATAAATATGTACGTAATAAAATAACCTTTTCACAATTCTTGACACAATAAGGTAGCAGCTTTTATATATATATATACATATACCATACTTCCAGGTGTAATGTACATAAGGTAGCAGCTTTAAATACACATGTAACATATTTCCATAGTTTTTGACACATCTATGTACCTTGTGAAGATCTTCATAAAAAAGAAACAACACATTTTCATCATTCCTGTGTTCCCACCATTCTAGGTAATGTTTCCATATGGGTCCATAAGGAACTAAATAATAACAATGAAATTTATGATAGAACATTTCATGGCAGTGAACATAAAACTCAGCTTTGAGTGATACAGAATTTTTAAATTAGCACTTGAATGTGCAGGCAAGATGATCTTACCCTTTTTAATCTATTACTTTCATACATAAAAAATGACAGGATAACTAAGCAACAAAACAAAATGGTCCAAAATATATTTTTCAGTTGCTACATATAACACCAAATGAGTCATTAAAGCAAAACTTAATACATGATTATGCTATTGAATAAATGTGAAAAAAAAAACAATCTTTTGGAAATTATAAAATATTTTTCAAATAAGAGTTCTACACTTACTTTTACCATCAAGAAAGCTTTTGAAAAATTCTTCAAAAGAACCTTTGTAACTTATTTCTTTCACCATGCGTAAAAAATGGTAATATGAAACCAAAACATCCTTAGGGTTACGCATTATGTACACTATCTGAAAATAGCAAGTGAAAAAAATTATTGGAAAACTATATCAGATGCCTAAACATTATTTTGATAATTATAACATAAATAACATTTAGAAGCAAGACATAGCTTTTAATAAGCTTAAAAAATGTGATTTCGTATTAATAACTAATTACACAAGTTCCAAATTAGGTTTTTTCACAGCAAAATATTAAAGGTTTTTCATGAACAACAAATTCATATTTTGATCAGATATACTGCTGCACTTGTCTAGACAACTGTAATTAAATCAGAGAGAAAGTTACTTTTGGTTTAATCTGCTGTGCTTCTGGAGGAAGTAATGTGTATGGGAGATGGCTTTTCAAGAAACGAGGGGAAGACGTCTTCTCTATGATTTTTAGGCCAGGATAGAAAAACTCTATGAATGGAAATCGCTGTTCAAGATTCTTTGCTTGAGCTGCATTGAAATCCAGATCTGTTGCTATGACATAAACCAACTCTTGAACCCAAGTTGTTCCTTTTGAAAATAAAATGTGTTTTTAATAATAAAATTTGTACACTATCTTTTCATAATTTACTGTGTAATAAACTAGAAAGTTTTATACATGTAAAGAAATTACTCCCATTAAACAACTTGTTTACAATTGTATGCACATTTTTTCTCAAAAATCCTCTTTTCAAGTTAATAAGTATTTATTAATTATAAGGAAATTCACATAGAAAAAATTTAAAAAAATTACAACTAATTTTTAGGGAAAAAAACTTGCTTGTACAAGCTTTGATAGAAAGTACTTTCATTTTCTGTGTATGTAAATTCAGATATGTTGTTTTGACTTTCCTTATGTGAGCTCAAAACCTAATTATAAAATTGCTTTTAACAAAATTTGATTTTGAAAATTGATATGGAGGTTCATTAAATCCATATAGGGGTACATAGAAATAGTTTTGCATTTTACAGTTTTTTTATGGGCATTTTGTACCATTACTTCACCCCCTGTTGATGGATCTTCACCAAATTTGGCATGAAGGTTTGGTGGGTCCATGCGGAGATACGTGCAAACTTGGCGTTTCACATTTTGTGTTTTGGAGTTTTTATAGGCAATTTTGCATTTTGTACAAATACATATAAGGGAAGCAACTTTTCATGTTCTAAGATAACCTTTCATTAATCATGAATTTACATAACCTCCGTCAAGGGGACAGATACTCCAGCTAGTAACCTAATATTGTCGTTAGTCTATGTACTGAAAATACAAAATGAAATGTAAAGACAACAAAACTGTAAAAATATTTGTTGATTTCTTAATTTAGATATAACAGAAAATAGCTTAAATCAGAAACAATTTAAGTTTAAAATTGAATCAACATTTTTACTTTCATGATAAATTTTGTGCACTTTGCTCTAGGCTAGGTGATTCCACACTATTTCTTTACTTTAGGTGTATTATAGGAACACTTACTTTAGATTATGTTCAGAATTTGCAATTACAATAATTTAAGGTTAACCCTTCAAATCTCCAAAAACTTTTAAATTTACTTTATATTATAAACTTTCATTTCTAAGTACTGTTACGTCTCCGTTTGTTAATTAACTTTCCGTAACTTCGTTCCGACAAAACTTTAGTGACACAAG